TCGTAAAAAAACAATTGGTAATATTTCTCAAAGGAGTGGGATCGGAAAAAAATAACGAAAAAATACTTGTCTTCTATTTTCATCCCTAAATCTCATAAAAAGTTTCAAATCGCTAAAATATTGTGAAGATTTGTAAGTGTGCGATTTGACGTGGAATTGAGGAAATCTTTTTTAATTATCTTTTAAAAATTGTGATGATTTCACTCGCAAACACTATTCTTACGCAAACACTATTCATATTTAGAAAAAAATACGTAGTTTTGTTTGAGAATATAATACTCTCTTGAAATTTCACTCCCTTTCTCGAAATCTTTTATCTGCCAAATCTTTCATATAACTTTTGGCTGTTTGTCAATTCTCAGAAATTATTTTTATCTTGCTGGTGCCTCTGGGGGTTGCAAAACTCCTGCTACATTGAACTGATTGGAATTAATGCCTTATTTTACGTGGCGAGACTCGGGCCGTCAGCCCCGCTCTTCCATCTGACCACGCAAATTTCGCTACGCTCTTTTCACCAACTAGCAGAGAAAGGAGGTATTTCTTGGGCGAGAAACAGGAGATTTCAATTTAGCTCAGAGGCGTCATTTAGGCTTGAGGATCTTTTACATGCAAGTAAATCTACTAACATGGGACAGCTGGCTTTACTTCCCCTCCGAAGGAAGGCGCACGAAGGATTTTTTCGCCCTTAAAAATCCACGGCTTCGATCCCGCCAACTTGGGTACAACAGTCCGGTACGCTAACCGTTGCACCATCGCCGCGCGCAAACTTGCTTTAAGCGGAAGTGATTGGCACAAAATTCATATATAGATTTGATTAATTTAGTCTTCTTGGTAATTTATATTACGTTAAACACATACCACATTTAACTGAATATAAGTCGACTTGGAATACAAGACGACACCCTAATTTTGAAGAGGCTTTCTGAGAATGTATTAAATTTTTGACTAATTCTTACTGTTAAGTCAAAATAAAATTTCAAATTGTTGTATTAACTAGAAAAGTACATTGTTGTTGAGAATGTTAAGACTTATTGCAGAACTACCATTTTCTTGTTCCTTAAGATCATCGTAGTCATTGTTTTTATCCCGACCCACATCATCTTCACATATTTCAATGTTTGTTTCTTTATGGTTCTCTTTCCATGCTGTAACATCATACATTTTAAACGTGACTGAAAGTTTCGCGCATTGAATTTGCGGCGTTATTAGTCTTTCATCAGGCGCCACCTTACAATATTCCCTTCTCTCTCAACAGATTCTCTGTCCTGCACTTGTTGCCCTCTGTTTCTTAAACAGTTCAAAACGCAGATTGGCTCTCGCAGGGCGTCGAACCGAGATAATAATAATAATAATAATAATAATAATAATAATAATAATATATTTGTCACATAAATACAGCATTAGCCATGTATGACAAGTAAGGATATATACAAACGAGTAATCATACAATGTACAATACAGGTATTTCTAAAAATTAAATGCGAGTCAGAAATTAAAATTCAATTCAATTCTCGTTCTAAATACAATATAATAGAATGCTAATTAATTTTATAAATGGTAGTGTAAGAATACTAAAATTTTAAAAAACAATAATAATAAAATTCCCCGCGGCCTCCACGAACCCACTTTTTGTAACGAAATCTCGGCATTTATTTTCACGTTACTACGTTTCTTCTGTAGATGCGCGCAATATTTTTACCGTTTTCGCAGTTTATTGTTACATTCATTAGTTTCGTCACATGGAATGGCAATGTAAAATCGTAAACCCTAACCAACTAGAATTAATCTGCGAATATACGACGACCCCGCATTTTTCGACTGAGATATTTAGGAAAACGCCTTGTCTTATTTCGGGTATATACGATATTTACACATATTGTTTACATCTATAAGTATACTATTGTAAGGTACTAGTCAGCGAGCCTCGTGGCAGCTATTTGGAGACGCGTGGTAAGGGATTAGTAACAGGAAATCGCCTCGCCACAGGAGGGAGAGAAGGGATTTTCCAGCACGCGGCAAAAGGAGACACGAGGCTTTGCGGTCCTCCGGTCTTAAGGAACGGAGACCTCATGCAACCAAAGGGAACTGTGGGGGCGGCGTGACGTAGTAGGTCACGTGAGCCTCGAGTATATACGGGAGTGCACAGAGCCAGTTGGTGGGATGTGTTGTAAATATAGTTTAAGAGTAAATGTGAGAGTGAACGTTGAAAAATATAAAGAAAACGAACAATTTTATGAACTTTCAATTATAAATAATAAATTTGAAATTATACATAATTTGTAGCAACTAGAATAGGCTCAAAGTGGCAAATGTATTAGTAAATAAGTTAGATTGTAAGTTAGTATATTTAAGATAGGCCCTACTTCCAGCTGCAAAAGCCTAAAAGGCTGCAGCTTAAATATGTACCGCCATATGCAAAAATAAACTCCCGCCCCTCCAAGGCAACTGGAGGGCAAAAAACCGTGGGTGGGATCTGGAGACAGTGGGAGAACCTCGTGCAGTTGCACAAAAACTTGGCTCCACGACCGTGCAGCCAGAGAGTATATTGCGTGCAGCAGCGAGCAGGGCTCGCGAGGCAAGTCACTTGTTGACGAACCTCTGGAGGACTTTGTGTCCTTGGGTGACTGCGGTCACGTGAGAGCGATGCTGTGTGCGTGCTCCGAGGTAAGGAGTGGTTGAGTGCCACGACTCGGCCGATTCTCAATCGGGTAAGATCACTCCTGCGATCGAGGCAAACTATCAGTTGGTACGCCGGTACGGACTTTGTGTCCCAGTGTGACATTCGGTCACGGAAGCTTGGCTTTGTGCGTGCTTCAGATGTAGGAGTGGCGAGTGCCACAATTAAAACCGATCACCGAGAGCGAGAGCGAGAGCGCGAGAGAGCGAGAGCGAGAGCGAGAGAGAGAGAGAGAGAGAGAGAGAGAGAGAGAGAGAGAGGGAGGGAGGAAGGGAAAGGGGGAGAGAGAGGGAGGGGGGAGGGAGAGAGAAAGAGAGGGAAGGAGAGAGAGTGAGGGGGAGAGTGAGAGACAGGGAGAGAGTGAGGGAGAGAGAGAAATTGAAAAGTGCATTGAAACAGTGAAATGCAAAACACATTCAATATTCACATAAATATGCGCTAAAAGGAATTAAGGAATTACCGAACTTTATACTTACTATTATCAAATTAACATTTATCATGTATGAATGTTTATGCACTTCCATTGCGCTATACAAAAGAAAGAATAATGATTATATACATCAGCAAATGTTTGATGAATTTTACAATTTATATTAATAATTTTAAATAAAAAGGTACTCAATTAATGAAGTTGAGGATGCAACAGTCACATATTCACTGAATTATAGGTATTAGTGCATGATATTAGAAGACATTTATGCCAAGAAACTTCCTCTGTGGTGGTTTTTTCTCAGGTGACAGTTACATCTGTAGGCAAGATGTGACTTCTCTTGGGTTAAGGGTCTAAATTTAAAGAACACTTTTTCAACGAAATAGAAATCTAGGAATAGAGTTCTTCACAGAAAGAATATCAATTTTTAGTAACAATTGTATTAGGGGGTTAAAATAATTCTGAACTTTCACAATTTTCAAAAATTCAGAGGTGTTAATGAAAATTAGATATTTGCAATTTTCATAATCATATTTTGCTACCTTTGAGAGAGTTGTTAAAACAATTTGGAGACATTTTAAAGAAAAATTTGAAAATGACCAAAGGACTTCTAAGAAGTTTTTGAAAAAAAATTGTTGGTATCATTCCCTCTAAGACATGTATTTCTGCAAATATATCAACATTAAATTTTTGAACATTAAATAATTTTCTCTTATGAACCTGAGAAATTAAAAAAGATAGTTCTGAACATAATCATCACTGAGACCACTCATAGCTTACTTAAAAAAAGGCAACAAACAAGATGTCATGAATTAAAGACCAATATCCCTGCAATCAGGATAATAAAAATTAGTATACTGTTCTATAAAAGGGTGAAAAGTGAACTGAAACAGTGCAAGCAATGCTGACTCACAAAATGAATTCTGAAAATATTGATAAATTGAAACTTTCTTTTTAACTTCACAAATGAAATCCTCATGGCATTTATACAAAACTTTTTTGATCTTTTCCTTAATCAGTTAAAAGCCTTCGACACCATTGATTACAAAATTTTGTTATTAAACTCAGAATGTTATGGAAATCGAGAAACTGCCTACAAGTGGATCATATCTATAATACAGAAAGCAAAGAATTGTGTCACCTTATCAATAAGACAACGAAATAAAATATCATTCCTATGAACCAAACCTGTCCTACAGGTCTCCCAAAAAGAATCCACACATTTCTTATATTTGTGAATGACATTCCATCAATAATAAAATAGTGCTATTCACTTATATAACACTATTATAAATCAAACAAAGCCCTATGAGTCACAGTCAACCCACATACTGACAAACTAATTCAACATATCCACTAAAACAAACTAACCATAAACACAGACAAAACAATCTCAATATCTTTCCATAACTCAATGCAACAATACTCATCAAATGTGACCCTAACAAACTGGGGACATACTGAGAACTAAATGAAGGAGAGAGCATGCAAGCTCAAAATTAAGATGAAAAAATTAGCAACATGCAGAATATGAAATACTGAGTTAAATGAAATAAGTTTGGGAGATAGAAATTGTTCAAAGAATTAGCCATTCTTATTGGGAATCAAGTCTGGGTCTCCTGCTTTATGCCCAATTCTAAGAAAACCAATCCACAGAATAGTTTTGTAGGCCTGCTGTATTGTCTGTTATTTAATATACAACACTGAAACACATGAGAGACAAAAGAGCCAAACCCAATTGTTGCTGATGAAAGACAAAAATATTTTTGGATATAAACAATTAATGTAAACAAACAAGTATATGATATAAACAAATAAAAGTCATGAAAGTCAGAAGGACCAAACCCAATTGTTGCTGATAAAATACAAAAATATTTTTAAGAATGTTCTTACTTTTCTGATATTTCAGCCACATTGAGAGGTTTTGGAGTTGTATTTAATATATCATTAGCTCTTTCAGCAGTAATTTCTTCTTGACTCGTAGATTGGCCTCCTACAGTGCGTGGTTGCAGAGCTAAAAGTGTTGTCAAACATTTAATGGTCTCTTGTTGAGCACAGCTGATGTCTGCATTAGCATGTAGTCCAAAGATATCAGGATCATCATTTAATGGAAGTGTCTTTAAATAATTCAAGCAGCCTTCTAGAGTAATATCAGATGGTTGCTAAACATATTTATGAATTTATTAATGCTTGAAATAGATAAATCATTTGATATGTATTTCCCATTTTAATAATTCTATCAATGTTATCTCCTGTACCTGACAATATGCTCCAGCTTTGTCAAATTTGTATTCTGGTTGCATTACTTTTGAATCATAATAATCAGACAATATATTCATAATGCAGCGTCTGTCCCAATCATCAGTTACACGGCCACCATAATTAATTTGACCTGCTGTATATGAAAGAACCTACAAAATAATCGTATAACTTGGAGAAATTGTCAAAAATATAATAATAATAATAATAATAATAATAATAATAATAATAATAATAATAACAATAATAATAATAATAATTGTAATAATAATACAAAAATACAGTTTATAATATGCAATAAATACAATGCAAATAATATATATTAATTAAATCAACACTTTCTAGTTAGGCTCATAAAATGTGGAAAAAATATATGAACATAACGGATATGAACTGTGCAAAATTTGACATTAAAATACATTTATTGGTAATATTATTAATCATCTTAACAGCACAGTTAATTATACAAATTTTACCTTAAAAGGAACATCATCGTATTCTAAAATAAACATTTTGAGTTGTGAAATACAAATTCGAAGGTCACCGCTCGTAAATTCATATGCAATATTAAAACCTAATGGTCCAAATTTTCTACGTTCAATACACGCTCCATGAAACAAGCAGAGAGCAAACAGGAGGCTTTTGAATGCTGGTAACTTTATATCTTCACTTTCAAAAAATTCTTTCATGTCAGTAACCTCAGTAGTATAAGATCGAATCATATTTGCCTAGAACAATGTCAGTAAAATTTTTTTTATTTGTATATTTATAAAAAAGTCACATATAAATTAAACCTCAAATAAAAAAATTGTTTTATGAAGTTAAAAAAAAAATCTTACCTTAATGCCACGGGGTGGTTCTATGGTCATTTTACTGCTATTTTGCAATACTGGTACTGGGAAATCAGGAGATGGGGATGATGTTAACCATACTCTGAAATCTTTGTGTGTTTTTGACACATCAATATTTTCTATTAGATATTCCAACCGTGGCATCCAACTTGGAGCAAGGTGACAATTCTGCATACATGATACATAAAAATTCTCTTGCATTACAATAGTGTTACTGATAAAAATATGTGACAAAAGAAAAAATCTGGTTTTCAATAGAACATGATGGGTCCATTTAAAATATCTAACAAAATGTTTATGTTCAGTTTTTGTACAGTGTCAGTATGGACAAATTTCTGTAAAACACAATAATATAATCAACTAATCAATAAATATATTTAATTGACAAAACAGAATATGTGCATTCTGATACTGAATTTCTTGTTCAAAGTATTAACACAAAACTGTGATTATGTATTGTTTTGTTTTGTGTGTTTGTTTGTTTTTGCTCTATACTGTAGTGCTTCTACAGCCACAACTATTCTTCCAATTTTTTAAATTACCATAATTCCTACATTTTAAGTTAATTAATTACTATCATTTAATTAAGTTCATTATTTTAAATTATGCCTTTGTTTAATTAATGCTTTAAATTCTTACTTGAAAAAATACCCAATATCCATGATCCATGGATTCATCCATCATAGCTTCAGCCCTTGGTCCTTGCCCCTGTCCTAGAGATATTACAAATAATTTTGTTGTAAAATTCATCTGCAAAAGAATTATGATCTCATCACTTGTTGAAAATTAATAAAGAAAATTACCTTCAATATCTGTAGTTTGAGTCAAAACCAATGGACATTTTTTAATGTTACTTTCCAATATTTCTACTGAATCATTTTCAAAATCAGATGATTTTCAAGGGTTTACTATTGTTAAAGTCTGTGTAGATGTTCATGGATTTTAGCAATTTAGCACTATGAGATGTCCTTCTTCATAGAGGTGATTAATTCTCAATTCTTATGAGCATATAAATATAAAACCTCAAACTGTATTGCCTTATGATTTGGTTGTTCAAAACAAAACATTAAAATAAAGTGTGTGGTTCACAAACAGTGGCTATTTTGTTTTAACATGTTGGCTGCCATAAGAAGCATAATGTGATGCTCATTAAATTGATCAGATTGGCTTTGAGCATTAACAGATGATTCTCAGTCATGATGAGTTTCAATAGCCATGAATAGCAGAGTTTGCTTCTGAAATCAGTGTTATGTTAAGAGAGCTTAAATTATATGGCTGTAACAATAGATTATAGGTTGTTAATTATAATTTTCATTTGCACTGAGGTGAATCAAGTGTGGTTTCTCATGGCCTGATACCTGGTAAAGATCCAGTCTCTATTTTATAAATGGATAAAAAGGGCTTGGCCAGAGGGTTAGTCTTTTTTTTTATTATTATTGGCAGTCAACATGTTTAGCACCATTTTTAGATTAGTTTTGTAAATTAATCAGATCTAATTTGTTATAGTTTTAAACTAAAATGCATTTTTTAAACTAAAATGTTTGTACTTAATAAAGCAAGAGAAATTATTCACATTAAAATATTCAGAAAAGCATAATCGTCTAGCAAGCTAAAAGAAAGAAACTATGAAACTATGCACGTGTGTTTTACTTATGTGTTGGGTGTTGAAGAGCATTATGACCTACAAATTTACCACACCCCAATATACCTTTATACAAAATATAAAGAAAGGAAAAAATGATTTCATTCAGTGGAAAGGATATGATTTACTCAAAAATAAATATAGAAAACTCCACTACTCTACAACTAACTGAATTTCAGTTACTTGGTTATGATGTTACTGGCCTTAAACAATCATAACCAAAATATTGATATGTTTGAAAGAAATAATTACAATAACCATTCAATGTGTACATTATGTTGGGTGTAGGATCATTCCACCCCTAATAAAGAGAAAGAGGCTGTGTGCATCTTCGTGGTAGTGAGATGGATAAATTGCTACAACAATTCTTGCTGCAGCAAACCTCGTATTTTTGTGGGGGGTGTATGGATATGAATACTGACAAAATAAAAGTTAGAGGGGCAGGATGGGTAGGTAGATACTAAGGTTTAAATAATTCATTTACATGCACTTTTTACATGATATTAAATATTAAAAATTATCAATAATTGTTACTTCATTTAATATACCTTGGTTGCAAACTTATAGAGTTCAGATGCTGGGTCAGTTCCTGGTGACAGAATAAAGATGAGAGGAATAGTGTTACTAGAATCACCAAATATTTCAGAAACATCACTGGTCTGTGGTTCTATAAATCTTTGACCCATGAAATGTGCAATGTAATTTTGAAGAGCATTCATTACTTTATCGGGTCTCAAAGACTTTAAAACTAACAACCGTTGAAAATGATTAAGTTTGTTCTCCCACTGTTGAATAAGACGTTCTCTGAAACAAAAAAAAAATTTCACATTTTTATCTCAAATCTTCTAAAAGTACATTATCCAGCGCAAACTTAACTTTTGTTAACTTACTCATGAGGTGCCTGTGAATCAAATAACCTTTTGAAATCATTTTTGTAAGTGGTGAAATCTGTTATGAAGTTTTTGAAGGAAGGTAGTAACTCAAGAGACTGTATCTCAAGCCATGCTTTTTCTGAAAGCCATTCAGATGCTGGATTTTTAAGCATCTGCAATTGAAAAACAAAAGTTATTTAATAAAATCAATTTACTAAATATTAAGGGTCAAGTGGTAAATTTCTAAAATATTCCAATTTGATTCAATAATCATTGTGATTGTATGAGATAGATTTATGCACTATTTCTTCTGTTTCTTATTAATGTTCTTTTTTAGTCTGAGGACCAGGTACTTTAAAAGAATTAGTCTACTGATATACATTGTATTAAATGATAATTAGTCCCACTTTGAATAGATACATATTCATTTAAATGATTTTGGAGATGATAAGTGATGTATTTTTGTTTGAGAACATTAAGCCATAAAAGGAAAAAAAAAAAAAGAACAAGAAAATGGAAAACTGGTGGAGGACGAGAAGAGGAAGATGATGAAGGCAGAGATGAGTAAAAATGCTCAATGATGATGTGTTATATGATTATGATGACTATGTCCCTTGTGTTTGAAATTTTCACTCCTAGGTATGTGGTTTTCATGAGGTTTTTTATTTTATTATTCACCATCAAAATACACCTTGTTTCACTCCTAGGTATGTAGTTTTCATGAAGTTTTTTATTATTTCATTATCTACCATCAAAATATACCTTGTTGGATTCTTTGAGATTACAATTGATTTTATTTTCTTAGTGATAAAATCAGGTATTGTTCTGCAGCTTTTGATAATCAGTAGAGAAGTATGTAAATCATCTTTCAAATTTGCTGTATTTCATCACCTACATAGCACAATATTGGAATTCTTTTACTTCCCATTTTACATCCTGACATTTCTTTTACACTCCCTTTTATCTTCTTCATCTGGGCTGAAACATCCACTGGCCCTACATGTAACACTTCTAACACCATGCTTGCCATTATCTTCAGCACCCACACCTTCCATTGACTCCCTACTTCCTCAGACATAAACTGCAACATTTTACAAATTTCTTGCCATGATCACTTCAAAGTCAATACGTTCTAGGTTATTTTAGATAATTTTGTTTGCAAGTTAACTCAAAGAAATAAAGCTTTTGAAAAGATTGTTAGAGAGTTCCCCATAACTTTAGAACTTGAAAATTTGAATGCAAGCAATATTCAAGAAAAATAAATCTTACATATATTAAATGTATTTAGCCAGTGTTTACTTGGACAGACAGTTTATAAAAAGCAACAAAATTCCTAGATTATCATTATAAAATGTTTATTATTTGTGAGAACCATATTAAGAAACATAGCACTAGATATATTGAGTGCTGTGTTTCTTTAAAAAAATTATTTCATTGATATTGATTAATAAGTTTTCCTCTTTACACAAGTGTTAGCCTGAAGATGAGGAAAAATGCAGTCTTTGAAACGTCATTCAGCAAGTGACAAATAATAAACTTTTTATAAAGATATTGTAAGAATTTTATTGTTTTTTGTAAACTGTCTGTCTAAGTAAATCCTGTGGCTAAATGTAATATTTGTGATTGTGATAGAACAAACAATATTCTACTTTTATTGTTTATAAAGATTAAACTTGTTGCCAGACTTCTATGACACAGATTTAGAAGGCACATTGGGAAACAAAATATTTCACTTCCAAGCACACTGCACTAAGAAAAATATTGAAAATTTGTCTCCAATGTCACTGAAGTTTCTTCATGAAAATGACTTGCATTGGTTGTATCCCAATGGATACCAGATGATTGTCCACACACCGATAAGAAATTTCAGTGCTGTATTTTATTATTTGAAACGGGTGAAAAACTATCTGGGAGCAACCAAAGATTTATTAAATGCACTTACTTTGTTGGCAATAGAAGCTGAAATTTTAAATTCGTTAAACTGTGATGATCTTATCAACCAATTCACGGTTCAATCAGCAAGACACAAGGAATTTTAGTTCATTTTCTGTAATGTTATTCATTTCATGATAAAGAAGGTTGTTGTTGTTGTTGTTGTCGTTGTTGTTGTCGTCGTTGTCGTTGTTGTCGTCGTTGTCGTTGTTGTCGTCGTTGTCGTTGTTGTCGTCGTTGTCGTTGTTGTCGTTGTTGTCGTTGTTGTCGTCGTTGTCGTTGTTGTCGTCGTTGTCGTTGTTGTCGTCGTTGTCGTCGTTGTCGTCGTTGTCGTTGTTGTCGTCGTTGTCGTTGTTGTCGTTGTTGTCGTCGTTCCTCAACAGAATGGCAAGACCTCGTGGAACAGTCTTCACACGAAACTACACCCCATTAAACAAAATATCAGTAAATGGTCACCAAATGTCAGCTACCCTCGACGAGAACAAGTGTGTTAACCCGACTAAGAATAGGCCATGCAAGAATGACTTCTTCATACATGTTAAGAAATGAAGACACAACCCATCTGCAGCTGCAGAAGACTTCTGACAGATGAAACATATTCTGACAGACTGCGTAGATCTCTCAAGACTTAGGAAACAGATGCGGCATGAAGAGGCAAACATGAAGATAGATCTCGGCACCGACAAGACAGCAACTGACAAAACAATACAGTTCTTGAAAGAAGCCAAACTTTTCTTCAAAATTTAGATTTAATATATGATTAATCATAACATTGATCAGTAAAAAGGCAAAGGCCTTAAATGCTAAGCCTTCAACTAACAAAAATAATAATAATAATAATAATAATAATAATAATAATAATAATAATAATAATAATAATAAACAACAACAACAACACAACGACCGGACAACGACACACGACGACGACGACAACGAC